TGAAAGAATCTGAGGCAATCCAAGAGAATATGAGGGAATCGGAAAGAATTAGAAAGAATCAGAGGGAATTGGAAACAATCTCAATAATTCTAGACGAATCTAGGTAAACCTGGCAGAATCTGAGAGAATTTGAGAGAATCTAGAAAAATGTAAAAAAAACTGGAAGAATCTGGAACAGTCTGCAGGGATCTGAAAGGATCCAAAGCGATCTTGAAAAATTCTGAGGAAATCTCAGGGAATCTTCAGGGATATCGAGGGAATCTGAAAGTATCGAAAAAAATCAGTAACAAAGTGTATTTTTTCTAGAAACTTCCGCATTAATTTTTCAATTTGATTGTTAGTAAAATTTATGGAAAGTTTTTGATTTTCCGATTATACAGTCTTACAATTTTCCGATGTCTCATTTATCCGATTTTTCAATTTGTCATTTTTTTATTTTATTTTTTTTTTATTTTAAGCAAGTACTAACCCCACCCACCCAGCCTTTATTTTCTTGGAAGAATAAGTCATCTGCCAAAATTAGTGTTATCTTGGCCAGTACTAGCCCCCCGCCCATCCTTCCTTATTTTCTTAGAGGATATGTCATTGGCCAAAATCAGTCTCATCTTGAAAACTACTAGCCCCGCCCACCCACCCTTTATTTTCTTTGAAGGGTGGGCCATGTGCCAAAATCAGTCTTATCTTGACAAGTAAGAGCCCCGCCCACCCACCCTTATTTTCTTAGAGAAATTGTCATTTGCAAAAATCAGTCTCATACTTGCCAAGATAAGGACGCCTGTGGGAATCTGTGAGAATTTCGAAGAATATAAATATCTGGAAGAATTTGAAAAAGTTTGCAGGAATTTGAAAGTATCTGCACGGTTTTAAAACGACCAGAATAGAATTCAAAAATTCGAAAGAATCATGAGGATTCCTGACGGTGTCTTTGAAAGAATCTGAAAAAATTCGAAAGAATGTGAAACAGTCCAAAAGAATGCGAAAGGAAGAATCTTAAAAAAAAGGAAAGAATCTGGAAGAATCTGAGGCAATCCAAGAAAATCTGAGGGAATCGGAAAGAATCAGAAAGAATCAGAGGGAATTGGAAACAATCTCAATAAATCTAGACGAATCTAGGTAAACCTGGCAGAATCTGAGAGAATTTGAGAGAATCTAGAAAAATGTAGAAAAAACTGGAAGAATCAGGAACAGTCTGCAGGGATCTGAAAGGATCCAAAGCGATCTTGAAAAATTCTGAGGAAATCTGAGGGAATCTTCAGGAGTATCGAGAGAATCTGAAAGTATAGAAAAAAATCTGTAACAAAGTGTATTTTTTCTAGAAACTTTCGCGTTAATTTTTCAATTTGATTGTTAGTAAAATTTATGGAAAGTTTTTGATTTTCCGATTATACAGTCTTACAATTTTCCGATGTCTCATTTATCCGATTTTTCAATTTGTCATTTTTATTTTAATTTCTTTTTTAATTTTTAGCAAGTACTAACCCCACCCACCCAGCCTTTATTTTCTTGGAGAATATGCCATTGGCCAAAATCAGTCTCATCTTGAAAACTACTAGCCCCGCCCACCCACCCTTTATTTTCTTTGAAGGGTGGGCCATGTGCCAAAATCAGTCTTATCTTGACAAGTACTAGCCCCGCTCACCCACCCTTATTTTCTTAGAGAAATTGTCATTTGCAAAAATCAGTCTCATACTTGCCAAGATAAGGACGCCTGTGGGAATCTGTGAGAATTTCGAAGAATATAAATATCTGGAAGAATTTGAAAAAGTTTGCAGGGATTTGAAAGTATCTGCACGGTTTTAAAACGACCTGAATAGAATTCAAAAATTCAAAAGAATCGTGAGGATTCCTGACGGTGTCTTTGAAAGAATCTGAAAAAATTCGAAAGAATGTGAAACAGTCCAAAAGAATCCGAAAGGAAGAATCTTAAAAAAAAAGGAAAGAATCTGGAAGAATCTGAGGCAATCCAAGAAAATCTGAGGGAATCGGAAAGAATTGGAAAGAATCAGAGGGAATTGGAAACAATGTCAATAAATCTAGACGAATCTAGGTAAACTTGGCAGAATCTGACAGAATTTGAAAGAATCTAGAAAAATGTAGAAAAAACTGGAAGAATCTGGTACAGTCTGCAGGGATCTGAAAGGATCCAAAGCGATCTTGAAAAATTCTGGGGAAATCTGTGGGAATCTTCAGATATATCGAGAGAATCTGAAAGTATAGAAAAAAATCTGTAACTAAGTGTATTTTTTCTAAAAACTTTCGCATTAATTTTTCAATTTGATTGTTAGTAAAATATGGAAAGTTTTTGATTTTCCGATTATACAGTCTTACAATTTTCCGATGTCTCATTTATCCGATTTTTCAATTTGTCATTTTTTTATTTTAATTTTTTTTTTTTTTTAATTTTTAGCAAGTACTAACCTCACCCATCCAACATTTATTTTCTTAGAAGAATAAGTCATCTGCCAAAATTAGTCTTATCTGGACAACTACTAGCCCCGCCCATCCACCCTTTATTTTCTTTGAAGAGTAGGCCAGATGCCAAAATCAGTTTTATCTTGACAAGTACTAGCCCGCCCACCCACCCTTATTTTCTGGGAGAATAGGGCCAATTCTGAATCAAACTTGTTAAATTTAAAGGGCGTTAAATTGCAAATTTCCACAGTAACGAGTTAAATTCGTACATCTGATTGGCTCTTTATTTTTTAACAACCTTTAAATTTTAAGAAGTTTGATTCAGAATTGGCTCTAATATGTCATTTGCAAAAATCAGTCTCATACTTGCCAAGATAAGGACGCCTGTGGGAATCTGTGAGAATTTCGAATATAAAAATCTGGAAGAATTCGGAAAAGTTTGCAGGGATTTGAAAGTATCTGCACGATTTTAAAACGACCTGAATAGAATTCAAAAATTCGAAAGAATCATGAGGATTCCTGACGGTGTCTTTGAAGGAATCTGAAAAAATTCGAAAGAATGTGAAACAGTCCAAAAGCATCCGAAAGGAAGAATCTTAAAAAAAAAGGAAAGAATCTGGAAGAATCTGAGGCAATCCAAGAAAATCTGAGGGAATCGGAAGGAATTAGAAAGAATCAGAGGGAATTGGAAGCAATCTCAATAAATCTAGATGAATCTAGGTAAACCTGGCAGAATCTGAGAGAATTTCAGAGAATCTAGAAAAATGTAGAAAAAACTGGAAGAATCTGGAACAGTCTGCAGAGATCTGAAAGGATCCAAAGCGATCTTGAAAAATTCTGAGGAAATCTGAGGGAATCTTCAGGGATATCGAGAGAATCTGAAAGTATAGAAAAAAATCTGTAACAAAGTGTATTTTTTCTAGAAACTCTCGCATTAATTTTTCAATTTGATTTTTAGTAAAATTTATGGAAAGTTTTTGATTTTCCGATTATACAGTCTTACAATTTTCCGATGTCTCATTTATCCGATTTTTCAATTTGTCATTTTTTTTATTTTATTTTTTTTTTTATTTTTAGCAAGTACTAACCCCACCCACCCAGCCTTTATTTTCTTAGAAGAATAAGTCATCTGCCAAAATGAGTCTCATATTTTGTCTTTTTTTTCTTAATATAAATAGCCATCCTTTCACAACAACAAACTTAAAATATGGTTAATATGGTACATTCTTGCAAGGAAATATAGATTTTACAATTATGGGGCGGAGCCTAATTGCCAAATCGATATTTCCTTATACAAACTTTACATTTTAAACGTATTTTAAGTTTCATACTGTGAAAAGAAGTCTACACATATTAAAACAAAAAGGCAAAATTTAAACCCGCCCACCCGCCCTATCTCAATTGTGATGATTTTTTCATTCGCCGTGAATCAATGGGGGTGGAGCTTAACTGTAAAACACTTATTTCTTTAGAAGAAATTAAAAACATGTTTTTGAGGATCGTGTTGGTCAAAGAGTAATGTGTATATTGAGAAAAAAAAGGCAAAATATAAACCCCGCCCACCCACCCCAGCTCTATTCTGATGATTTTTTTATTCTCAGAAACTTAAAACATATTTAAAATGGTAAATTCTTCTAGAGAAGTCTGGATATTGCAATTAAGCCCCGCGCCTCGACCTCACAACGAATGATCTTTGGCTTTATTTTTCTTAATACACACAGTATTCTTTGAACAACACGACACTCAAAAACATGTATTTAATTTCTCGTAGAGAGATCATGATTTTGCAGTTAAGCTCCGTCCCCTTGGCTCACGACGAATAAAAAAGATCATCACAATTGACACAGGGCGGGTGGGCGGGGCTACATTTTGCCCTTTTTTCTTAGTATGTGTAGACTTATTTCGACAACAAGAAACTTAAAACATGTCTAAATTGGTACATTTTTATAGTAATCAACTTAAATGCTACACTTTTCTTCTACAACCCCAATTATTGATTTTATAATATTGGTTCTATTTTATTTTTTGCACTAAAATAGCAAGCATTCCAATTATAAAAAAATATAAACGGAGTGTTCTATTTTAAGAAAAATATATATATTATAAATTAAAAAAAAAAGTCTTATTCACCCTCCACACTTACTACATTGGAAAAGCGAGCTTAGATTAGACACTCGATCTGTCATCCATCATAAATTCGACTTTCAGCGCATTCATAGTTAAAAAAACCCGCACCCCGACACCCCTTTCTGTCATCACCATCACACAAATTCCTCCACAATTCCACAAACCCCACCAACTTGTTGCACACAAACATCAACCCCCCGACTTTCTCGTCCAATTTAAATTCAAATGTAACTTTGAATTTAAAATCAGAGCAAGGGTAAAACGTAAGTGGATACAAACCAACCCTTCCCACTCCACGTCACACATCCATCCCGTGCACAAAAATCCTCACTCATTACCATCTCAATGCGCACCCATCCCGTGCACAAAGCGCCAGACTCATGCAGATTAATATCGCGCCCAAGAAACACATCCCGGCCATTATCACTCGGTTTGAGAGCCGCTGGCACGCCGTTACTTACACGAATGCAGACATTCCGATATGGTGGTGGCGTCGATCAGATACCCCTCGCAGAGATAACAGGTCAAGTAAGAGTTTATCTCGACAAGTTTGATCTTCTCGTGCTTTTGAGGAGGAGGTGGATCCATCGTGGCTCTGGAGGCGGCTGCAACCCTGAAACGGAAAAAAGCGACGATTAAATCGGGCTCGGCTCTACCTGTCCGTCAAATTTAGAGCAAAACATTAAATAAAATTGTGTGAGCAATAAAAGGTGTATTTATTAGAAGGAAAAAATGTGCACATATTCCTTTAAAACCTATGAATAACAGTGTTCCTGAAACAATGGCACTTTTTATGAGTCGGACGTCGAGGATATAAATTTAAATAAATCAAAGTGCGATATTTTTCGTAATTTATTAATACGAGTACAGATAAATCAGACTTGATTAATTCCTGTTATCGATTCAGATTTATAATTAGAGAGCGGATTTCTAGGTTTAATGCTTTTTGTGAAAAATGTAAGCACTTCAAAACTTTTTTATATCTGTAACTATGATACAATTTGGAGTCATTTGACACATTTTTTTTTATGCTTATTTGCTTTTTTTTCAATTTTATGCATATTAAAACTTATATGCTTATTTAATGCTTTTTTCGACGAATATGAGTTTTAATGCATATTTTGTTCAAATGCCGCTCTTGTCGGGATGACAAATACTTGTTAGTTCGTATGCATTTTACCTGGACTTGACCACTGAAGTACACTTATTCAAGACCCTTTCTGTGAATAGGTTCCGGTCGTTTGGGTAATAAAATTTTATTAGAGGATTGGAAAAATACTCCATAGATTTTATGACTTTAAATCCTTACTTCCGTTGATAATGAATTAAAGCTTTTAACCAGATGTTCTTTTTCGGCATTTTGCGGCAAGACCGTTGAAGATTTTCTAGAAAAAAGGATTATTGTACCCAAACACCTACCTTAAAATTTTTCTAATGGAAACTTTTAAGTAAATGAACCGTTTATTTCACAACCATCAGTCTATCGCATCTGTCGTAGTACAGTGTTAAATGTGGTTCTCCCTTGTTACATGTTGAGTTCTTTTTCGTAATATTACTACTATTTTAAAAGAATGCCGAAAGTAAAATCGACGCCGGATGAGTGGATAAGAGATTTTCCAGAATTAAAATTGGAAAACAACAAAATATTCTGCAGATCTTGTGTGAAAACCGTAAGCCCACTAATTTTTTTGTATCTATTTTCCTTTGTTAATCCTGTATATGTACGTTGTTTTAGATTCAAAGTGATAAAAAATATAACGTGACCCAACATGTCAGAATGACTCTTCATGTAGAAAGGAAGAAAATGTTTGAAGTTTCCAAAATTAAACAGCAGAACATACATGAATCTGTTGCATCTACTTCCACAAAAGATGAGCAGTTTCAGTTTAATTTCGATTTATGTAAAATGATGATCCAGTCCAATATACATTTAAAAAAATTGGAGAAAGGGCCTCTTCAAGAATTCCTTGAAAAACACTGCAATCGACATATTCCGGTTGAAAGTACTCTCCGACAAAATTATGTAGGCCCAGTGTTTCAGCAAGTTTACAACGAAATTAAACATCGCATTGGAGATAATTATTTATGGTTCGCTGTCGATGAAACAACCGATAGTTGTGGAAGATACATGGCAAGTTTAATTGTTGGAATCTTAAATGAAAATTTCCCTAGTCGAGGGTATGTAGTAAGTTTGAAAATGTTAGATAAAACAAATGGCAATACGATTACCAGATTTGTAAATGACAGTCTTACGTCACTATTTTTGCCAAATGCCGTACCGGCGAATAAAATTTTATTGATGATCTCGGATGCAGCTCGTTATATGCTGAAAGCAGGGAATAATCTAAAAATATTGTACCCCAATTTAATTCACTCTACTTGGATTGCCCACGGTTTAAACAGAGTGGCTGAAGGAATACGTTTGCAGTTTCCTATTGTAAATAAATTAGTGGCAAATGGTAAAAAGATTTTTGTTAAAGCCCCACTAAGAGTGCAACATTTTAAGGAAAAATTTCCAAACATACCATTGCCCCTAGAGCCGATTATAACGAGGTGGGGAACATGGTTACAGACCACATCTTATTATGACAAATATATCAAAGAATTTGAGGAAGTCGTTACGGAGTTTAGCGAAGATTCTTCTCAATCGTTTAAAGATTGCATAAATATTTTGGAAAACAAAGATTTGCGACAAGATCTAGCTTTTCTAAGAAGAAATTATCAATTCGTATGTGAAGTAATAGAAAAGTTAGAAAAACCCAACATGTTGTTGGTAGATGCCATAAACTTAGTGAAAGAATTTAAACAACAAGCAAACGCAGTAAGGGGTGATATTGGTACTAGAGTATCTCAAAAACTTGAAGAAGTGTTAAATAAAAATGCAGCTTTCGGTGTTCTTTCCGACGTTGCTCGTGTTTTACAAGGCCAGAAGGTGGAAAATTTGGAGTTAGATTCAACATTAGTTGCAAAATTCAAATTTGCGCCAACAACGAGTGTGGATGTTGAACGCACATTCTCCAATTTTAAACACATTTTAAATGATCGGCGAAAAAATTTTACAGTGGACAACTTGGAACATATTGCAATCATAAATTGTTTTAAAGAAAACTGAAATACGTGTGTAAAATATAAAGTCTAGGATTATTGTAATAATATTTTATCCAAAGTTCTAAGAAGTGTTCTTTGATTTGTAATATGATTATGTTTTTAATGCTTTTTTGCTTAAAATAAAACTTTTTTATTGAAAATGTTGTGCTTATTTAAGCGCTTATTCTTAATTTTTTTGTGCTTATAAATCCGCTCTCTATTTATAATAACAATGGACTTTTATTTAATAATAATGAATTTACATGATTCCGACCAACGACCCATTCCAACAATCGGAATCGACTAGAAAATCGGCGACCTTGCCGCACCGCACCGACCGGGTGAACGCACACTCCCAGTATGATAAAAAATTCTTATTTACCCAATCTAAAATAAAATCCTCTACTTCTATTTTTATCGGTGCACTCATAACGTGGCGGTTATAATTAGGACCACCCGTGACATTTTATGAACATCACATCACATCACCATAAGCTCTTCGCTTATTACCCACCCCTGTCAAAGAGACATAAATTAGATGAATTCTGTTTTGAGAGGTTCGGGATTTATTCCTCTCCCTCCATTTCGCCCCGATGTCACATTAAAACGTGATCGTGTACAGAAGGGAACAAATTAAATGGCGGTTATCATATTGATGAGCGGCAGAAATGAAAAAATTATAGAGCGCCGACATGCGAGCTACGGACTTTTCATTTACTGGTCTAGTGTTCGCTGCACGTGACCACTCCATCTGTTCGGTAACCGGGGCGCAAAAATTTTTCGTGCCTAATCGAGCGCGCTCTGAAGAGGCCCGAGATGAGGATGAGATTTAGTGTGGGCTCTCGAGACGGCGCCTTTTGTGCATTTCCATGTTTCTTTTTCTTTTTGCCTCTCTCTCGTTCCTCCTTTATTTTCCGCCGTCCGATCGTACCAAGTCGAAAGTCGAGATTTGAAGATTTATTGAACGGACTCTCGGTCGACTCATCCCTCTCTGGTGCGTGCGAGAGAGCGGGTCCGTGAGGTCGCGAAAGCGCCATCTGTCCGACGAAGAGCAGCGAGGGTTGAGCACCTTTCGTTCAAATCGCCGACGACGGATAGCGGAGACGTGGTCGCTCTGTCGACTTGTGGGTACAATGTGGGTTTGTTATCAGTCGGCGTGTGTAAATAGAGGTTAGATGTGACGAATGTAGAGTGGGTTGATGTGTGTCTGAATTGTACGAATGTTGTTAATTATGGGACTGATAACTAGAGATTGGAAAATGCGCACTGAAAAACTAGCTGCAAATCGATATGAAAAGCGGAACATTCATGGAAAACTCCGCTATGGGTTGCCGTCGTGTGTTCGGTTAACATCTTCGCGCGATTACGTGTACGCAAACTCACGATCGTGGCCGTGATAAGACCGAAAAAATACTGCAAGCTGAAGAACAAATTTTGGAACGCGTCGAAGAAGAGCCCGACATTTACACTATGCCGGGCTAGTATTCGCCAAAATAAGACTCACTCTGACAAATGACCTACTCTTCTAAGAAAAAGTACAAGCCCCGCTCACCGACCCTTTATTTTCTCAGAACGCCAATAACGTAATGACGATGCAGTTCAGTGATTTAGTTCAAACGCAATATTTACAGCAGCCTCTGATATGATTTAAGTAATAAATTTTAATTCATCTACGTAAAGTATTGTAAACGCTATTCTAACTTATGATTTATATTTAAGGTCTTCATATGGTGTAAATAACGACGTGCGTTGTCACGCATGCAGTAAACAAAGACAATTGACATAAATAATGTTTAATATCGTTGCCTTTGTCTAGCCCATTCATGGCGTTGCGAGATTTAAGAATCGTCTTAGTTTAGTCGTACGACAAAAGTTTCTCAAGTGGGCTTCAGACGTGTAAGCACCACTTTAGTTATGTTGCGTTAACGAAATGAGGTCCTACGTTATTTAATGTTTACGTTTGCAAACAATATACAGGGTGCGTCGCTAAGCGCTCGATATCTCATTAGTTATTAGAAATATTCGTTGAGGAGTATCTAAAATAATTTTTAACTATACAGAGTGTCCTGTTTTCAAGGCGTAAGATAACTTAGTTTTGTGAAATACCCTATATATTTTTATAAATTCTCATGCTTTAAAACTACAATTTTCTTGACTTTTTTGTCTTATCATATTTTCTTGAAGAACACTTTGTACAGAGTGTTTATAAAAAAATCTAAAACTTCACAATTTTCAATTTTCGATATTTCAGTTTTTTCAAGTGGAACACCGTGTATTTTATTACTGTATCATACTCGATTTTTTGTGTTCACGTGTCTCTTAAAAAAGTGAAGCATAGTCGCAACTGTAAAATTTAAATACAGAAAATACTCAGCAAAAAGAAAGAAACCAAAAAATAGAATAAGATGATCAGTAATAAAATATAGGTCTACACTTATTAAGAAAAAAAGGCAAAACGTAGCCCCACCCACCCACCCTATCTCAATTGTGATGATTTTTTTTAATTCGTCGTTATCCAAGAAGGCG